TCTGTTGAAGTGTTGTTAGCAGTTTGAGAAGGCGCTGCAGGTTGACTAGAAGTCATATTGAATTTGTTTTTGTTGGAAGACGAGTAGGTGAGATATATATCCTCGTCGTTAGAAATAGGACGATAGTTTTTTTCCAAATTTTTAAGGAATTTATTTGAAAATTTTTTTCCTATAGCAAAACTCATATGAGAATGTTCCGAGGAGTGCGTAGAGACCAAAATTTTAAGAAAAAATGACACTTGTCTATAGAGAAATGTATTTTTATGGTGAAAATTTCTTCTGTGAATATTTGGTATTTAACGATCGTCCTTTTATAGGGTGTATACTGTAGTAGATGTGGGGATATATTATCGATGAAAATGTCACGTGATATATATCGGACTCGTCAATGTGGATAAATTAGATTAAATTGACAATAATTATAATTATCTTAATAGTCAAAAAATCGTTAAATTATTTATTGTTAAATAGTGTGCTATGTAATTATGTTACTTCATTGTTAGATAACGTTAAATTATTCATTTGTTAAATATTGTTGGATTAATTGGTTGTTTTATTTAATAATAATTAATAAATACATTATTTAAATCTATACTAAAATTAATTACTCCAAAGATGTTTTTCCATTTCCGAAACTCCAGAATCCTACAAATTAAGAGAAAGTAAACAATTCCTAATGAAATAAAAGAAAATTAGTTTAAGTTATTACATCTTCCGAACTCAAACATCCGAAGCCTACAAAAAAAAAAAAAATAAAAAAACGTTAAATAACGTTTTAAATAAAAAACGTAAGTTTCACAATGAAACTTACTCATCTTTAGTACCCAAACCCTAAAATCATGGAGCCTACAAAATAACGTTTATATTAAAAAAAAGAAAAAAAAAGAAACGGTAAATTTCGCAAAGAAACTTACCGTTTCTACTCAAGTGCCCCCTGATCGAACCCTCTGGGACCTACAAAAAAATTATAAAAAAAAAGAAACGTAAGTAAACGTTTCATTTAAAAAACAAAAAAAAAAGGTGTTTCGTAACGAAACTTACCCGTTTAAAACTCTAACGCTTATAATCGATACCTACAAAAAAAATAATAAACGAAATATTAAAAACGTTTCTTATAAAAAAAAAAAATAGAAAAAATAAGTTATGCAACGTACCATTCGACGTATACGTATCCCTTTCTTACAAAAAGAGATAAGAAACGTGCAGTAATTCGTACGATATTTTAGAATGGTTGGCCATAGACTAGGAGAATTTGCTCCCATTCGAAAAATTGGCTGGAGTTCATAATTTTTACTTGATTAAATTGTAAAATTATACGAAGTGCAAAAAAAAAAAAATAGAAGCGGTTAACTTTCAGTTAAATAACTTACTAATTTCTAACACACTTCGATTATTGGTTGGAATAAAGTTCTACAGCCAAACCTCGGAATGTCGGGATATGAAATTTTTATATATCAAAGTTATACAAGTTATACCGATATTTATACAGTATGTCCTCACATATAGTGGGAAAATAAAACTTTATCTTATATCAAGTTTTTAATAGTATATCAGTATATCGAATATCGGTATATTGTGGTTAGACTGTACTGATTTTACTCTTATTGAGAAATCTTTGATCAATTATTAAGTAATTATTAGTCATATTAGTCATGATGTCACAGAGTCGCAACTGATATCGCGATACATCTCTGAGTTACTCATATTTTGAATAACTTTTTGTAATAGTTACGTAATTTTGTGTATACCCACTGATTATTTTTTTCTATAAATAAACCACATTTTGGAATTTTTTTTTCATAATATACCTCTCTCGTAATATCTCATAATATCTCCCTCGTTTTTTTTATAATATCTCTCTAATTTTTTTAATAATATCTCCCTCTTTTTTTTTTTATAATATCTCATAATATCTCCCTCGTTTTTTTTTTATAATATCTCTCTCATTTTTTTTATAATATCTCTCTCGTTTCTTTTTTAATAATACCTCACTCATTTTTTTTTATAATACCTCACTCATTTTTTTTATATCTCTCCCTTTTTTTATATCTCTCTCGTTTTTTTTAATAATATATCCCTCGTTTTT